CCAGAGAAGGAGCCGCAGTCAGTGGGAGACGTTCGTCGGGGAGCAGCGCCACTCGTATTCCCCCACTTGGACGAGGTACCACACTCGCGCACAGGTGTCACGGAGGGCGTCGAGTATGCCGAGGATGCAGTAGACGACGACGCCAATGTCGATGAGCGAAATCAGATCAAGCATGGCTGTTGGTTCTTCGCGGGGGAGACGCGGGGTCAAGATTGTGTTATCAACACGCTTCTATTCACGAGACTGACGGGTTTGCGAAAAGCATCTCGAAAGCTTCCTTCCCTCCCCCTTGGACGAGATACCACACTCGCGCGCAGATCCAGCCGCGGGCCGTTGGACAGCCGTTAGAGAAGCTAGCGCTGTACTGCGGCGAGCGCTTTGCCCCTCACCGTGGCCCTCACCACCGCCCTCTGCTGCAGCCAGGCTCTCCCGCCGGCGCCGCCCGACCCCTCGCGCAGCGCCACCAGCCGCCCCTTGACCACCAACTTACCCGTCTTCTCGAAGAGCACAACATCACCAGCCCCTTCTCCAACCTCACCGGCGCTCTTAAGCCGCTTCAAGTAGAAGGACAGCCCTGCGAGAAGGTACTGGAGGATTTCGATTGCGAGAGGATCCATCGGGCCTTCGGAGGTATGGAGGTCTTCACGGTGCACCCATCTACGTGTGTCTGTCTGTGGGTGTGCACGTGTACGTTTATGTAGCTGACAGGTCCTGAGTTCACGCTGGCAGACGAGGTCCTCCACCTGGTGCCATACGTGCACCTGGACGGCCTCGTCGACGGCTGCATAGGTCGGGGCGGGCGTGCACACACAGATATTAATCATGCACAGAAATCCGTGTGTCGCTCTGGTGTGTAGGCATGCGGGAGGGCGAGAGCCGGCTGGTGAAGGTCAGCACGGCAGGCAGCTCTGGTGGTGCCGAGCAGGTATGTATGTGTGCACTATATAGATGGGCATTACGACCCTTGGTGTCTTGGGCGATTGTCAGGGTGCTGCTGATGCTGAGCTCGAGCAACGAGGGCGCCGAAGACGCAGAGGTGCGGACGGGACGGCCTGCGTCCACGTGTATATGGATGGGTGCAGCTGTTGCTCGACGTGGGCCCGGTCAGTCTGCACACGTGCACATACATTTATTTGTCTTTGAGCGCATTCACTGTATGCGTGTCTTCCTTCACAGAGAAGTCCCGGACCTCACCGATGCCCTCGCAAGGCAGGCAGGTGCGCGACGCCATGACGCTCAAGGAGCTGCCGAGCCAAGTGGAGGACAAGCTGCTCAAGCAGTGCCAGGTGGGTGGGTGGGTGGGTGAGTGACAGAGAGGAAGGGCAAACATATACAAACAAACGAGCGCATTTGGGCTGTCGACATGTGGTGTGCAGGATGACCGGGAGCGCAATCTTCGCGCCGGCGTCATCGCCGCCCTGCTCGACTGCACCAACCTCACCATCCCAGCCAGGTACACTCAGATGCACGTGTAGATAATGCCTGACTGCTGCATGGATTGGATGTCTGCAAATTGTGCACACAGAGACGCTCATAGTGGAACACGGCAAGGGCAAGTCGGAGGCCTCCAAGGGCCACGACGTCTCCAAAGTCACCAAGGCGGCCGCACTCAGCGACTACCTACGCCGGAGACAAGCCGCCATCACACAGTAGGCCTTCAACAGGGCGGCTCTGCTGGACTGCAGACATACACACGTGTGCGTTTGTGTGTGTTGGCAGGGAGCTGCAGGCGTCATTTATCCTGGATGAGATCGCCGAGAGAGAGGGGCTGACTGTGGCGGTGAATTTCCTTAGTACACGTGCCTGTCTGTGTTTGTTAGCTCTCTGTGTGTGTCTGTGTAGCCTGACGAGCTGCAAATAAACATCGACACGGTGCAGCAAGACATGAAGACACGGTGGCACACACACGCGCAAGAGAGAACCCCCCCTCAGCCACACACCCCCAACGCACATATGTCATTTGTGTGTGCAGGAATCCCGAGTGCAGTCGAAGCTCGAGGCAATGCTCATGGCGCAGCGGGTCATCGACTGGATCACAGAGAGGTCCGTGACACCCATCCACCCACCCAACCACATACGAAGATAATGGTGGCATCCATCCATCCATCCATCCATTTGTGCTGACTACAGGTCGTCAATCAGCTGGGTTCACGAGGCCGAACTGTATGGCGGCAATCTCGACGACAGGCTGGACACGCTCATGCGCCAGACGGAAGCCGCCAAGGCGACAACCGACACCAAGACAAACACCCGCAACGGCCCCTAATGCTGCTGAGGTACGTTAGGTTCCTGACACACACACAGTGTGCGCAGAAAGATGGAATTCTTGATAGATGCGCGCATGTGTGCATGTGTGCATCCCTGACTGTAGGCACATGTCGACTCAGGATGTTCTGGCCCGGCGGGCGCAGCGGACCATGAGCAGTCTCTGGTGATGTGGTCGGTGCTTGTGTACATATTGAGCTCACGGCAAGGCACACGGAGACCTATCTTGTGTGTGGACTGTATATCTGTACACCAGTTACGGGCCTGTTGTGTGCATGCGGTGTGTGGAGGTGTCAAGACCTCACATGCATCGATTTCACCGATTGAATTTCATTGCCTGTTTCGCGTAGTGTCCACACATACGTTGACCGTTTGCATCTTCCCCTTCCCCCCCTCTCCTTCAAAATGATGAAAACAAAGTACGACAACAAGAAAAAAAAGAAAGAAAAAGAAAAGAGACCGGGGTCTCAAGACATCCATCCATCCACGTGAGACGCAGCCAGCCAGAAACCTCTCCGTCTCTCTCTCCGTCTCTCTCTCCGTCTCTCTCTCTCTCTCTCTCTCTGTCTCTGTCTCTGCACGTGTGTGTCTGTTTGTCATGGTATGTGTACACCCCTGCTGAAACATACACATGTATACAGCACCCTCTCACGGGAAGCTAGTACACGTTAAACTTCTTGAGGTTCTTGATGTAATCGCTGGGGGGGACGAGCTTGTCCGCATAGTCAGAGCCGAATGCCAGGCCATGTTCATCCACCCCCGTCTTGGCGAAGCAGAAATCCTGGATCGCGGGCTCATTCTTCTTGTTGGTGTAGGCGGCTTGCTTGCGCGTCTCGTTGGATTTGCCGCACCGTCCTTTCGATCCGAAGGCGTCCCCCTCACTGTAGCAGTGACCTTTCCACACGCCGTAGCCCTTCTCAGCGTCTGTTGGCGTGAGAGTCTTCTCGAGGATGCAGACGCGGTCGATTGGGGCGCACGCGTACATGTAGGGTTTTTCGTCGGGATTGAACGGTGACGCCACACGCCACGCGGAACCCTGCTCTTTCTTGATGGAGCATTTGTGCTCTGCACAAATGGAAGGAAAAGCATGACAAGATCAATTCATGGACCTGCGCATGCATTGAGGAGGTTAAGTGCCGCTTGCTACCGAAAATTTGCTGAGTGTGGTGAAGGACGCTGTGGGCCAGGAGGGCAAGGTTGTCGGCGGCCGCCGTGGTGCCGTTGAAGGCATCGATGGCCTCCTGGTAACTGTCGAGCTGCTCGTGCAGCTGCATGAGGCTCACCGACGACAGCTCAGCAGACGTGCCACCTGCATTGATTGCAATGACAGTGCAGCAGACCGGAGGATGACTGCATGCAGAGGGACTTACTTTGCTCACGGGCGCACTTGGCGGCGACGAGGAGCTCCAGGAGGATGGTCAGTGCGACCAGAAGGAACGTCTTGTGCGCCGCCATCCTCTTGGAGATACTCGAGATGTCACTAAACTTTGCCCTGCCTCCCCCCATGCGTTGGGGTGCATGCTGACTCGTAAAACACATCATTCTGAGCATTTGGAACTTTCTCCGACCAACTGTCTGATCCCACCACAGGCACATCCAATCACGCGCATTCGGTCCGCAATGCAAAGAATGCTTGACAGGGTAGACTTCCCTACCGATCAGACACTCATCCTATCCTGCATCCCAAGACCAAAAAACCACACGTCTCATATAGATTCTACAGAACAAGTCGACCTGTACACGGCCAAGCAATATGCCCGACACGACACACGGCTATCTATCTATCCATCCGTCCGTCTGGCCGTCTACCTGGCTCCCCCCTCTGTCTCTCTCTCTGTTGCCGTGCTGGAAGAGGGCGGGTGAATGTCTTTGCCCAGCAGATTTTGCAGTGAGCTGAACAGCCGGCTGGAGCTCAGCATCTCGGTCGTGGCGATGACGTACCTTCTCGCGCCGCCCTCCAGCTGGCTCAGCTTGCGCAGGGCCGCCACCTCTGAGTAGGTGCATCCGCCAAGAAAGAACACCACCACCACGGTCGGCCGCTGAGTAAGTGAGACAACCACACACGGACACAAACAGACTGGCGCGCGCATCTGGAGGGGGTGGAAGCTGTCTTGCCCACCTTGTCCTTTTCCCTGTCTTTGTTGCGGTCGCTGCTGTGAAGGGACGTGCCTGACGTACAGCAGAGAACACATGCCACGTATGCATCCATCCATCCATTGTGTGCGTGCATCGCACCGACCGTAGTCAGGCAGCGCGACAGTGGTGGGCGGGCTGCCCGGCTGCGTGGAGGGCTGCTGACGCACCTCCAACGCAGGACCCTACACACATACATGGACAGCAAGGAGACACCAATGCAGGTTTGTTTGTTGGTTGCTGCGTGAGTGTCCCCACCCACCCATAGCAGGTTGAGTCCTTCCTGGCAGCTGCGCCAGCCCTTTGGGTGGCTGTGCAGCTTCTGAACCAAACGCACTGAACAAGACACAGAGAGAGAGAGGTCATGTTGATGCTGTGTGGCTGTCTGTGGGTGGGGGGAGGGATGTGTGGTGGGATGCCTGATAGTGGTGCATATCCCGAGCAGACGTATGAGATGTCCAACTGGGCCTCATCCTCCTCTACTATCAGATGGAAACTCTGCACACACACACACACACACACACACACAGGGGTCAGGTGATGTGCCGCTGCTGGGCGTGTAGCGCTGTGTGCACCTTTTTGATTTGTTCCCATGTGGATCTGCCCTGGTATGACCTCAGCAGCCCCACCGCATCCAAATTCAGCAGCGCCCCCAACTCGACATAGCCATATGACTGACAACCAACGGAGACACACACAGAGAGAGAAGACACATGCGCACCTCCGCAGTACACACGCATTTCGTGGGTGTCCGTCCCATGTTACACACACCTGTATGATGCCTCGCTTGAGTGCGTCGAGGTGTTTGCTGCGGATGCCGTTGTTGACCACCGACGTCAGACACAGCAAACGATACAGCTGACACACACACACACATGTTTCTCGTTCCATCTTTGCTGTGTCGGCCACTCTCACCGACCTCTTGTATAGGCAGGTTCTTGTCGGTGTAGTCCTCCAGCGCATTCAGCACCTCGCTGCTGGCACCAGACCTCGTGATCTCTGAGCACCCACCGACCGATTTGGTGAACAGACAGCCCCTCCCCGTCCCTCCCTCCTGGTGTGTGTGTGTGTGTTACCGTCTTCGAGCTGCAGCCGCTTGTGGTAGTCCTCCTCCTTGGTGATGTTGGATATGTGAGACGCCAGGTTGACGTGCGTCGCCAGGGAGCTGTGCTGCGCCTGACCGCATAATGCACATTAAGGGCACACACATATGGGTGGATTGTCATTTGGCGTGACCTGACCTGCTCAGCTGACTGACCTGTACGCCTTTGAATTTCTTCATGAACTCGTTGATCTCGGATATGTTTTTGAGGTTGTCCTTCTCGCGGTAGGTCTGCTGGATCTGGTTGGCCTTAGCGTGCAGCAGCGGACCTAACACACCGATGTGCAAATCACTGCACATACAGCAAAGGAACCACACACAGGTGTGGGTGCATGTCGCATGATGCACGCACAGCACTCACCGTATTTCGGCGAACAGTGGGTCGCTCGAGGTCAGGGGCACCTGGCCAAAGCATGACAGACGGAGGGGAGTGACCATACACACATGGATCTGCCTGGACTGACTTGTGTCATTACTTTGGTTTTCCTGTTGGTGGTCCCCTGTGGCGGCGTCAGGATGGGCGGCCCGACTTCAATGTGAGCTGACAAGACACAGAGACAGACACAGACCAGCAGCAGAGCACCCATCCGTCTCATTCATGGGTGCGTTGACTGTGTGCCGCGCTGCTGCCCTACTGTGGTGGATGTTAAAGACGGCGTCCAGGAGACCTGTGGATGCAGAGAAGGCACCACGTGATCACTTGTGGATGTGTGTGATTGTTGCAATGGTTGGGTACCTTCATAGGTGAACTGTGAGCAGAGGGGCGTGATGAGGTCCACACGGCGGTCAATCAACACCAGGTAGTCTATCTCGCACACACCTGACATACAGACACACACACACAATACGCGTGCATACCGACACGCACAGAGGCCCAGTGACTGCCGTTTTCCTGTCTTCACCTTTGCTGCCCTCCCCATCTTTCTTGCCGCTCGCCACTCCTGCGGCCGCATCAGCAGCAGACGCTGAACCAACCACCCACCCCACCCCACCCCACCCACACGCACATCCACAGACAGATGCGTGTGTACCCATCCATCCCCCTCTGAGCGCATGCGTAGGATGCATTTCATCAGCTCACCTTCACCGAGTATGTATTTGACGGGCGGCACTGCCGGCAGACTCGACGATGAGAACGAGTCGCCACCAGCGCCTGCCGACGTGATGGCCGTGCTGTGCGTGTCGGTGGTGGCCATCTCCTCCCGACGAAAGCGCAGCAACAGCTCAGTCACATACTGACACACATAGACACAGACACACACACAGACGCCGCCGACGCACACACAGTCGAGAAAGAAGACAAAGATCAGCTCTGTCTGTCTGGTGCTGTGTGTGTGTGAGGTACCTTTGCGGCCGACCCGATGGCCCGTATGTTCGGGATGGCCCCGCCGCAGTGCTGCTGCAGCTGCCAGATGGACAAGGCCGCATCGTAAAGGGTCGACGGATCGCCGTGCTAACAGCACACAGACAAGCACACGGACAGGCAGATCGATGCGCAGAGATGGATGGATGGAGGTATGGATGGATGGGCCCATTCATCCATCTCATGTATCTCATTGATTGCGCTTACCAGGTGGAAGTCGGTGAAGGCGTGTCTGTGTTCGAGTGAGAGGACGTCGCTATCGAGGGGCATCAGCAGCAGGGGGTAGGACCGCAGCTGCACGTCCGCATAGACGTTCTGCTGCTTCAGCGCCTGCACAGATGAAAGAAAGAAACGACACGCGCAGAACGACTGACTAGATGTGATGGTCGATGGATTGACGCCGCTGATCTGCCTGTCCTGTCTGTGGATTGACCTTACCTGCACGCAGAACTCTGTCCGTCTCGGCACGAACACCACTGCATACGTCTGAAAGACAGACACGCACACGCACAAACAGCGGGTCAAATGTGGTGGGTCGGTCTCCTGCAGCAGTCGGTGCATGTGTACCTTCTCGACGCCTCGCCGCTCGCTGGCCTGAATCTGCATTCTGATAACAAACATGCAAACCACACACATGAGTGTGCGCACACTCATGTGCACACACATGAGTGTGCGCACACTCATGTGTGTGTGGCTCGTGTGGAGCTGACAGGGTGGTGGTGGTCGCTTACGCGATGAGTGGTATGAGTTCGACGGTTGGCCTGACGAGGAAGATGACCTGCTCGACGTCCGTCGTGATCTCATACGCACCCAACTCAAACCAACTGGTGACGCCATGGTCTCGCAGATCGGACACCTCCACAACTGTGTGTGACACACACAGGCAGACAGACAGACAGGCAGGCAGACAGGCGTGTGACGTCTGTCTGTCGATCTGTGTGCTACCTACCGAGTCCCAGCGGCCCTGCGAGTGTAGAGTCGAGCACCAGCACTTTGCGGCCGGGGTACTGAACACACACACAGAGAGAGAGAAGCGCACAGACAGTGATTCACTCATTCATTTCACTGCTTATGTGCCGGTTGGTTGAGTGAAGCAAACCGTACGTACCTCATCGAGCAGGTCCAGCAGCTGCGCCCTGGCGGCCTCCTTCACCTTCCATAGGCTGATGGCGCTGTCCTCCAAATTGCCGACCTTCGACATGAATCAATGATCCTCACTCACTCTCAAGATCAGAGGCAGTTTCGCCTGGGATCAATCAACGAACCACATTCACGGTGTCCTACTCCTATAGATGCCTCTTTGCATCCTCAGTTATGCCTCAACGCCGGCGCCATCTTGGTCGAGTTTGAGCTCGCGACGCCTCGACCGAAGTTCGTTTAGAAGGCTCAGCGTGCTGCCTGGATGGCGTCATGAGGAGGGTCGACCGTCCCTGTTAGCGCTTCTGACCTCTCCTCTGCTCTCCTCTCAGCTCAGCCAATGATGGCTGCTGCCTCATCGTGGAGCACCAAGAAGCGGCACCACTCGTCAGCCGCCTCCCACCACCCGTACCAGCCCAACCCCCCCTCTCACTCCCACCCGCAGCAGCAGGTCCAGGTGGCTTACTACGCCACTCCTCCCAGCAATGTCACCAACGTGCCCTTCGGTGGTCACGCCTTCCATCCCTCCAGCCACCATCACTACACCCCGCCTGTGTATGAGCCTCAGGGCAGCGGCAGCAGCAGTGGCAGCCCTTACAGCGGCCAGTGGCCCAGGAGTGGCAGTGGCCTGGGCAGGGTGACGGGTGGTCATGTGTCGGGGGCGGTTCATGGTGGCCATTCTTCGCATCAGGGGTTGAGGGTGGAGGGGCGCAAGGGGTCGTCTGGCGGGGACAGGCGGCAAGATGGGGCAAGACATGAACGACGGGCAAATGTGAGGAGCGGAAGCGACGACACTCATCCGGCCATCACACTCGAGACGTCTGCAGCATGCTGTCCATGTGTGTGTGTGTGTGTGTGTGTGTGTGTGCTATAGGTTGGTGTTGAAGTGACTCCGCCGTACCCGCCGCCCGCCATGCCGGGAGCCAAGGAGTCGCCAAAGCCGCTCATCATTCCTGACGGAGGGGGAGGGGCAGGGGGCGGACGCAACAACACCGCCAAACACGACACCAGCATCAACGGCAGCAGCAACGCCAAACAGACGCACAAACGGGGAGACGACAGCAAGGTGAGACCCGCCTTCACACAGAGGGAGAGGGAGAGGGAGGGAGACAGGGAGGCACAGCTGCACTGTTGCTTTCTCTCTCTCTGTGTGTGTGTGTTGACAGATTCCCCCTCCCCCGTCATCTGTGTCGCCGGCCAGCTCAGGCTCGTCAACTGGCGAGGGCATGGCGATTGGTGACCGTCGCGGTTTGGGTGTGTTCCAGCACGAGTCCGTGCAGCAGCTGGGGGTGTGGCTGGTGGACATGCCAGTGGAGAATCGCAAGCAGGCCCTGGGCGACGTCATCTTCCCCAAGGTCTACCATCTGCTCGGCGGGAAGGACACCGTCCTCTACCTAGCACAAAAGGTCGGTGAGCACCCCTCCTCCCTCCCTCCCTCCCTCCCTTGTCTCAGCTCACATGTGCGCGTGTTGACGTCATTCATTAGGTGACGGGGATGCTGCTTGACCTCGATCTGAGTTCGCTGCTGCGTCTGCTGGATGACCCGGCCGACCTGGACCAGAATGTGAAGCTCGCCTTCCACGAGCTCCGCACCGCCAACGCTACGAACGTGCTCCACGACGAGCGCGCCCGACGGGAGCTCAACTCGCAGGCCGCGCAGCTGGTGCCCTTCTTCGCCCGCTGATCTATCGGATCAAGATGGACGGCCGGCCGGTGTGTGTAGTGGGGTAGAGGAGGCAGGCAGGTGTGTCGGTGTATCTGGTGGTTGGTGGTGAGGGCAGGGTGGCAGAGCAGACGGCCGGCTGTCTCTCCCTCCCTCCCCCCCCTCCCTCCCTCCCTCCGTCCCTCAGTCTCTCTTTGTCCGTTGGTGCGTCCATGTGTGTGTGTGTGTGAGTCTCGTGCGTGTGTCCCATATGTGTGTGTGTGTGTGTTGGATCGTATATCGTACGCTACGGCCGGCCGCCCTGTGTGTATGTAGCTACCCATATATATCTCTCCTTATCGTAACGACACCCCGGTGTGTATTTCTTTTGTCGTGGTTCTTGTGGTTGTGGATCGATCAGTGGAGGGGAGCGGAGAGGGGAGGGGGCCGGGGCAGAGGAGGGAGCGGGAGAGGAGATAAGAGGGGCCCTCGTCTGTCTGTCTGGCTGCCTAACCGTCTGGTTGTGTGTGTGGATGTCTGGCTAATATAGATACCTACCTGCATCGTGGTGTGGTGTGGTGTGGTTGTGTGTGGTTGGTTGCAGAGTTTTGCGTTTTTTGGTTCTCAATTAATCCATGTGCTGTCTGTACGGCTGACTGGCTGTGTGTCCGTTTGTATGTTCCAAGTGTATCCCCTCTCTTTATACGCACCATCTATGGGCTGGCTGTGCGGCTGTGTGGCTGTCTGCGCACCGACCGACCGACGACCGTTCTGTTTGTTTATGGTCCGTTTGTCTGTCTGTCTGTCTGTCCTTTCTCACCCCACACACACCAAAAGATACACACACGTGTATACCGCCACACAGGCAAGGCAGGGCAGCGAGGCACGTTTTCACCACACACACACCACACTCTGACCACAAGACACGCACACAGCCTTTTTGTGTTGGATAACACCCACATCTCTCTCTCTCTCTCTCTGCAACCGCACCCACAATGCACCCACGATAGCACCCTTGTATGACTGCGTAACGAGGGGAGGACAGAAGACGGAACACACGTATATCTGTCTGTATGGCTGGACGTATCCCTCAACGAGCGATCAAGGAAAGGCCTTTGGCTGCCGTCCTGCAGGTCTCGGCCTGATGCGATCGATACGAATGCATATTTGTGTTTGTATCATATAGCTAGACGTCCGCACACAGGCAGACAGGCAGACAGGCAGGCAGGCAGAGAGAGATGGAGAGGCGACTGGCTAGCGAACCGGCAGGAAGGCAAGGCAGCCGACCGGTAACCGACAACCGGTGTGTGAGACATGAGTGACTGCGTAGGGAGGGAGGGAGGGGAGGACGACAGACAGACAGACAAAAGGAAGGAGCGATCCCTTTTGGAGACAGACATCGCTGGCTGGTGTTGTGCCTACCGGGGGCCTGTAAGTGGTGCACGCGCCCCTTTCCGTGCTGACACAGCTGCAGTCACCCAGCGATCAGAGTGTCACGACATACTCTGGCTGCAAGGTGGCGGCACGGCTTCGTCAGCAGGGAGGGACACGGCCACACACACACAAGCAGCAGCAAACAGCAGACAAGACAAGACAAGACGAGACGAGACAAGAGCGTGTGTCCGAGGGGCTCTTCTGCCTGCAAACGGTCTGCTGTCCTTTCGTTCGTGGTGAAGCGAGGGAAGGATTGCATACCGGCTGCCGCGTGGGAGACCTTAAGACGCGGGCATACGATGGATGGATGGACGGCTGGACGGATGGGTGAGCGAGACAGGCAGAGAGGGAAAGGCGAGCGCTGTGCGGATGGACGCTTATACATAGCACATGCGTACATACATACATAACGATGAGTGGCGTGTGGGTCGGTGGGCGGGTGTGTTGGTGGTGCGCTGCCCTGCGTGTGAAGGTCGCTTCGGTGCACGCCACGGGTGCGTGAGCCAATGGATGTATGGATGGATGGATGGATGGCTGACCGTGTCCATGTGGATGTGTGTGTGCCTGCCGTGTGCGTGTCCTTCCTTGCTCCTTTGCCGTGGTATGCTGTCTCTCTGTGCGTGTACGTGACTGCTGCCTGACGTGAGAGACCCTCTCCTCTCCTCTCCTCTATTTGTACATTCATTCACTCAATCGTTCACTCAGTGACATTACTCTCTCGCGCGTAGGCAGGTCAGCATGGACCAAACCCAACATACTCACCGCCACCCACACGGCACAGACACATGCAGCTACCACTACTGCTGCTACATCATAGCTTCATTTGTTCATCTGAGGTCAGTGTGTCTGCGCGGCGACGACTCGCGCGAGTCGCTGGCAAACTGCGTCTTGATGTGACGCAACACCTGGGCAGTGCACGAAGGACAGACAAAACGCACACAAACAGATCAGCTCACTGCACCACACCACACCACACCACATCACACACACAGGCTGACCAGTGGCTGCACAAAGGCCATGGAGATCTGCTTCAGCTGGAGAGACACAGGAAAGCAGACCAGACAGACAGAGGGATGCACACAGGCGAGTTGATGTGCTCACGGCAGGTTGGGGGGGCTCGGCTGGTCTGCGCGGGGGCGCCACGCGGAAAAGGTCGGTACCCGAGAGCAGCACGTTGCAGGCCGCACGCCACTCACGCAGCTCCCGCATTATCCTGACACACGCCACAGACATTCTTGTTGGTGCCAACGTGTTGCCTGTGTGTGTCTCTCGTCTGCCGTACTGATTGAGTGCCGTCTTGAAGCGCTGGTGGGCGTCCCGCCACCTGCACAGAGAGAGAGAGTGTGTGTGTGCGCGCCCACAACACCAACACACATGCCAGAGATCGATGAATTGCCGCCGACCGACCTTGCAGTATTCTTGCGGATGAGTGCTATCAGGTAGACGCGGCGCAGATTCGGCGGGACGCGGAAACGATCAAGAAACTGCCACACATACGGACAGCTATGAACAAGGTGGTTCGTATGTCACTTGTCTTACAGCGAAGAACGGCGTCCGTCCCTCGGCGAGATATGCCTCCATCTCCCGCTGCATCTTAGACGGAGGCACCTACACACACCCATCATCACACCCATCGCACCCATACACGGCGCACGTGTCAAGCCATTCACACAACATGACATGCATTGGTCCTTACGTGCAGGCTCTTGGCCAGCACCTGTGTCTCCAGCTCCCAGAACCTCTGCAGCAGGTGCTGCTTCACCTCCCGCCTGTAGACCAGGAAGCTCTTGCACGCGTGGCGGATCCGCTGCACGCACCGGAAGCCGTGCAGAAAGCGCTGACGCAGCTGTGATCAAACCACCCATCACACCAACCCACCAGCCATCTCGCACCGACGGGTCATTGTTCGAGCGGACGGATTGGCTCACCGGTTCGAGTGGGTCAGCCCGTCGCAGCGACGCCAGCAGCATGTCAGCCCTGCTGTGCCGCATCCGCAGAAGCAGCTTGGCACCGGAAAACACAGTCCTGCAGACACACACAAGGGTCAAGCAAGGCATGACTGCGGCATCCAGAATCACACGTCAACACTCACCAGTAGACGGCAGCGGCCCTGGCAGCAGCAGCACGGGCAGCAGCAGCGGCGGCCGCAAGGTATTCTTTCTCTTCTTCTTCATCTTCTGTGGCACGCTCTTCCTCGTCTTCTCCCACGTCCATCTCCATCTCCACCATCGCTGTCTCGGCTTCCTGCGGCCGCTCTCCCAAGCCCTCTCTCGTCGGCTGGATGGAAGCGAGGAACGCGGCCACAGCAACACTTGCCAGCCAGTGACGGGCAATCGAGTTGCGAAGCCGCAGCGTCCTGGAAAGAAACACACCATGTGAAAAACAGAGGGTGTCTGTGTGCGTGCGGATGTGCATACTGTCTCAGCTGCTGCTTGGTCACGAATCGTGCCCGTTGGTCCATGTCGGCCTGCTCGCGCATCGCCCGTGCCGTCAGGCTCCTCCGCCGCCACTCCTGTCCGTGCGCGGCTGTGGCCGCTCGACGCTGCTCCAGCTGACTCCTATTGATGGTCATGGGACAGCGGTTGACGGCCACCCAATCCGTGGCGTCTGAGGGCCGCAGGTGGGCCCCTCTGCTGTGGCTCGCGCGCGACTCGGCTGCGCTGACAGAGAGAGGGGATGGTGCAAAGGGGGGGAGGTGGGGCCGAGGAGGTGGTGTTGTTGTGTCGCGGATGAAGTGGCGCTCTCTTTGGAGGGTGTCGCGTTTGTGTCGCGTGACGATGGATATGGGTGAGGTGTCGAGGGCGCCTTCCTTGATGAGGGTCCCCAGGGGACTCGACTGGGGACGGCGCTCGAAGTACTCTGCATGTATACACGCACATCAGAGAGGGTGTGAGTGTGTGTGCAGGTATTGTCTCACCCACTTTGACGCGTAGCCGCTGGGCAGGCGTCATGCCCCTCATGTCTGCAAACACCCAGCCATCCATCCATCCATCCATCCACCACACACGATGAAACGGACAAATGCGCGCTATGGTCTCTCCGGTGTCCTCTCTGATATGTGTCGTACGCACATCTCCTGCTCGCATCGTGGATGGACGCCATCGGCTGGAACGCCGTGGGTGAGCTGTTTACCGACCCCCTCTCACTCACACTGCCATACCTCCCTCCAGGCGGCAGCTGCGCGTCCAAGAACTCATCCAAATCAAAGTAGCTCGGCACCCTCTCCAGCAGCCGATGCCGCTGCTCCATCTCAAAGGCCATCGCCCGCTGCATCTGCCGCCTTCTCTTGGCCCTGGCGGCGCTCCGGGCTGTCTGCGGCTTCACTGGCAAAGGCAGCTTCAAGGTCCCTGCCTGTGATGGTCTTCTCACAATCTGCTGTCCCAGAACCTGTGCTGTCATGGTCATGCTGGGGCTGCGGGATGTGAGGGACGGCCGGGGTGAGGAGAACGAAAAGGAGTCGGGGGGGATGGTGGTGAGCTCCTCTTGCAGAAGACGGGCGTGTAGGACGCTGGAGCGGCTCCTGTCCCTGCCCGTCATGGCGTTGAAGACGGGGCTGATGTGCTCCTCCACCAGCTCATTGTAGCGGTTGTACCGCTGAGTCACCGACGACAGGTGAAGACGCGCGGACGATGGGGGGCGCGTTTCCGCCATCGGGAGGGAAGTGAGAAACCAAAACCGTCGAAAGGTCGCGAATCTGTTTACAGCGAACGACTTTTGTACGCGTGAAGGGAAGGCGCTCAGCACAGCTCCGCCGGCGTCTGCAGGTGCTTTTCTAAAGGGAAGAGGTGAGCTGTGCGTGTGCGCGTGAGCGTGTGTGGGTGGTTAATGCGTTTGCGTCGACAGTCCATCGTCGATGGGATATGAGCGAGTCCCACTGGAGGTCCATCGACGGGCGACGAGCGGACCCACCAGACCGGCCGCAAACGGGCTCGTGTTTGTCTCGCTACTCGCCATATGCACACTCATCGGTCAGACACACAGACACACAGACAGACAGACACCGAGGTTGGCTCACGGATGCGCGTGTATGTTGGTATGGTAATAGGTGTGGATATCGGTCTCCATGCGGGCTCCCTCCTCGGGCGGCGGAGTTTCAGCAGCGTGGACGACTTTCTGCAGCTCGCCAGGCAGCCTTTGCTGGAGTGGGAGCAGATGCACAAGGCATCCGTCGCCGAACTGGCCGATCCAGAGACCGATCAGACCGTTTCAGGCGATGTCGATGAGAGCAAGACGGCGGTACTGTCCGCAGCAGCAGCAGCAGCAGCCGTGCCCCATGCGTCTCCCTGCAACATGAGCATGACAACAGCGGGGGCGAATATGAGCATGAGTATGGGCATGGCGCAGAGTGTCCATCCGCTGGACCACTGGGTGACGCAAGAGTGTCCAAAGGTGCGGTGGATGCGGGAGTTCCAGAGGGAGCGCCCTAGCAGCAGGTCGAAGGAGATAACCAATGTCGTCTCGCTCGACATGAGGAGCTTCCCAATGGCTATGCTCAATGTATGTCTGTATGCATTTCCATCAATCAGTCAGCCCACAGCAAGTCGCCAATGTTTTGTGTTGTGTGGTATGGTGTGCAGAACTCTTTGACGGCCGTTGTGTACCTGGGCGAGAAGCGGCGGGACACATGGGCTGAGACGATGATCCCCAAGATGCAGGCGTGTCCGCTGGTCAAGGAGGTGCTCATCGACTGGTGGCCTGAGAGCGACCTGTCGCTCTCCAAGCTGCCCGTCAAATCACTAAAGAAAGTCCGGTCAGTGAGGACCAAAGGACGCGTGCGTGTGTGATGTGGACTTGTGTGTGTGTGTATGTGTGTGCAGGGTGGCTGATGGGAAGCGGGGCCTCGGTGAGCGCTGGCTGATCGGCGAACAGATCACCACACCATTCACCGCGACGTTCGATGTGAGTGAAGGAGACGATACACGGTCACAGAGAGGATGAAATGAAATGAGATGTGTTGCGTCTCACATGTCTTTCTGTGTGGCTGGCATGGCATGCAAAGGATGACCGCGGCTTCAGCTGCCGTAAGCAGCCAATACACATACATACCCAGACGAGCAGACACAAACCTGTCGATCACTTTGTGTCTGCTCTGCTCGTCACGGAGGGCAGACCTGCTGCATCGGCTGATGATAATGGCCATGCGGTTCCCCAACAAAATCGCCACACTCAGCGAATTCGGTACACACGCATCCACGCACACACGAAATCCACTTTTCGTGTCCACCGTCCCTTCTGCCTCTCTGTCTGCAGGCCGCCGGATAATGCATTGCCCATCCCTCAATGAGAATCAGCTACAGTCAGCAACACGACAACACACGACACACACACACACACACCCCTGCACACAGGCGTGTGTGTGTCTCACACACAGGTACAAGTTGTCCAAGTCCAAGGGCGCCATCACACTGCCCGTGGCGGCGGTCGTGGGCACCTCCTCTCTCGTCGCCTACGCCAAGCTCATGCCCCGGCCGATCATCGACATGATGAACAAAGAGCTCAACTGCGAGGACATGGCTCTCAACTGGGTGGTGGCACAGATGGCCCCCGACGGGCAAACAGGCAAGACAAGAAACAAGCAGCAATAGCCGTATCATGAGGGGAGGTGGGGCATGTCCGTGGGCTGCAGGGGTTGTGCTGGAGGAGAAGCATCTGGGCGCTACGGGCGACTACATCGACATGGACGACCTCAAGGGGCTGAGCGCCACCGTCAACGGCCAGGTCAGACGCAACGCATGCCTCAACATGCTCGCACAACTGCTCCCACAATGGTAAGGAAACACACACACACACACACACACAACGCCCCCTCCACACACAGGACCATTCGTGTGTGTGTGCAGGAGGGTTCCCAAGCCCCCGAAATTCTCTGTCCATGTACGGGACCCGCTGTCCGGCAAGGCGGCGAATCACACTATGGCACGGATTGTCGTGGTGACCGCTGCGTATAGCGAGAACAGACCCGACTTTTTGGACACCGTCTTCGAGAACCAAGACATGTATGTGTCCACACAGCAGTCGACAAAGGCCTGTGTGTTGATGTGTGCGTGTGTGTGTGTGTGTAGGTATTGCGCTTTGCACGGGTATCGGAGTGTCACCATCTATGGCAAGGACGTCCAGACAGCGTGAGCAGCCAGAGATCCATAGACCCCGCGGGTCTCTGCCCACATCACGCGTGTTGTATGTGTTGTGTGTGTCTCCCTGTCTCTCTCAGAGACAGAGGTCGGTCAAGGCATCCGTCAGCCCATCCATCCATTCATCCATCCATCCATCCATCATGCCTGCGAACGGCCCGTTTTCAATCCCTCTCTCTCCCTGCGTCTGTGTCTCTGTCCAGGTGCGTACCGTGCCAAGCTCGAGACGATCCTGAGTCTGATGGTGGAGACCAAGCACAAGTACGTTGTCTGGAAGGACAGCGACACCCTCTTCATGGACTGCTCCAAGAGGCTGGACCTCCTCGTGCGGGAGTACCCCACGAAGGACATCATTTTCACATCGGACGTCTCGCCCTGGTTCGTCAACACCGGCGTCATGATCTTCAAAAGGACCGCTTTCGCCAAGAGATTCCTCAAGACCGTGCTCAAGGTGAGGATGTCACACGCGATGCATACGTTTTGGTGCATTGCTTGGGTTGGTTGTGCTGAACAAACATGCAGCTGATGAGCGACATGCCGGCACCAGCTGGATCACTCCCGGTGAGTGGATTCGTCAGCCCATTAGAGGACAGTAGAGCAGATGTTGCTGGTGTGCATAACACGTGTGTGTGTGGTGTGTGTGTGTGGGGGGTG